GGAAAATGGGCACTTACATTAACTGGGTATTCATTAACCTTTATGCCGCTCAAGGATGTAAAATGTCAAGTGGTAGCATACTTTATAGTTGACCACTCAATAAATGAAGAATCATTAAAATACTTGGAGATTGAACCCTGGAAGTTATACTTCGACGGTTCCAGTCATAAAGATGGAACTGGAGTATGAGTTCTAATTATTTCTCCAAATAAAATTCTAACAACATTAAAGTACAAGATCAAAGGTTCTTGTTCGAACAATGAGGCTGAGTATGAAACTCTAATTGTAGGCCTTGAAATCTTGTTGGAATTGGGGGCAACTCGAGTCGAAATAATGGGAGACTCAGAGTTAGTCATAAGGCAAGTTGCGAAAGAATACAAATGTATAAGAGAAAATCTTATCATTTATTTTGTAATAGCCAATCGTTTGTTGAAAAACTTTGAAGTGATCAACATTCGACATATATCAAGATTGGAAAATCAAATGGCTAATGACTTAGCACAAATTGGTAAACAACCACTGATCTTCCAAAAAGGGTAATTTTTGGTTACTTGCAGGATCGGTCAGTTTAATCCTAGGACATATGCTAAATATTTGTGTTGTTTTGATAAAAATGCTAATTTTAATAATGAACACATTCGACTAAGAAAGGTAGAGGTTTGAGATAAGTTTAAGTGTAGAAATATGGTAAAAAGTGCAAGTAAAATACAAGGGAAAATAAACTTTGCAAGTAAGATAAAAGGTTTTAAGCAAGAATGGCAAGGAATGTAAAAGACTTTGATTATAAAATGTGGTGTTTCAAACGTACATTCTCAGTATTCTTTCTCACGCAGCGGGTACTCGAATAATATTGAGTGACTTGTACAATTAGTTGAACACACGGAAATCTACATAGAATCCCTATATTTATACTAGAACTAGGTAACTATCGAGGAGTTGCCTCGCTCTAAGACGAGGACAAGTGTCCTCTGCATGCACTTCGACTTCTGTCCTTATGCCACATTGCTTTCTTCAACTACCAGGTGAACTGCTTTTCCCTCATTTCTTCATATTCAAAATCACTTGTTGCTGATACGAAGTTTCTTGGTCGAAGGGCAAAGGCTTCTTGGTCGAACACCCCCTTTTAACTTAGAAAATTTATCTAAGTATTTCTTCTCTTCTTAGCGTAGCTTCGACACAACTAACATCACGAACTCTTCTGCCGAAGCGTCTTTAACTTTAGATTTCTTCAACCTATTCTTGGCCAGTAGGACCAACATGTGTAGGTGTCAAATTCAGGAGCTAACACATACATGATCACTCTTCACAAACACCGTCTCCTTTTACTTTATGTTTATAACATGCTCCCTTAGGATGATAGTTTCCTCTTCTTTAAGATGCGAACTAATTAGACCTTAGGTTGGAACCTATGCATGACAATATTAGGGTTTTTCCTAGTTTCCCTCGTAAACCTTTTTCTTCTTTTGTAATTGAAACTTATCAAAAATACAAAAACATTTAATCATTATTCAAATTGATTTTAAAACTCGCAAAACACTCAACCAATAAAAACTCCCCCCAAAGGGCATGTTATCTCTGTTCTACCGTGATACAGACCGTGCCTATTGCTAGAATGCGTGTGTTAATGTCCCCCACTAAAAAATACCAACAAACCAACATTTTCTAGAAGAACTATGGTGTTCTAATTCCTTCACTGGATACGCAGGCAAATGGTTGCGAGACCCTCACGAACGCACTAATAAAAAATCATTTTCTTTCCCCTTAGTAAGTATAGTCATAGATAAACACACCCTTAGAAGCAAAAAAACAAAATGGATTTCGTTGAGTACAATGGATGTGAGGGGTGCTAATACCTTCCCCTCACATAACCGACTTCCTTACCCTTTCTCTTGGTTGCAAGACCATCTTATCCATCCTCTCGTGGTTTTCTCGATATTTCCCCTTCCTTCGGGATAAATAAAATTCGGTGGCGGCTCTATGTTTTTTGCCGGTAGCTTCAGTAATCCAGAGAGAGAATTACGAGAGTTGTCAGTGCATGATGTTATGATTAGAGATGAGTCTTAATGCATTAATATTGATGATATAATCATGCATCATTTGACTTGTTTCAAAATGCATGTTTGGTTTAGAGAGGGGACTAATGACTTGTCCTAAGCTTAGAGGGGGGATTTGAGATCAGAGAGGGGACCCGATTCCTGAGAGAACCAAATGTTGAGTTAGTACCACATGCCTATGCATCGAGTTTCATAGTCGAAGTGCATTACATAAATGAGTTTTATGCATAATATCTTGTTTATGTGTGATTGTTGAGTTGGGAGTGAGAATGTATCGTGTAATGTTGTATGTGATTATCTATGGAATGTGTATGTGTTGATACTCTACCTTGCAGTATGTACCACTTACTTTATTTATGTGATTTCTCACCTCCTTTGTTGTTGTTGTTGTTGTGCTCTGTGCTTCTCTTTGGAGTACAAATAAGCAGGTAACTAAGTAGTTTCTTAGAGTGGAGGATGGCACAAGACTTTTCCTCTTTTATTTTCATTTTTCATCTTTAGATTATCTGCTCTGATTTGTAACATTGGGTAGACGAACAATCGTTTCCTTTTAATATGTTTATGTTATTTTAGAGAGTATGATGTTATACTCTCGATTTCGTGATGATTGTGTCGTTTGAGGAGACTTTTAACGTATTTTGTTTGAGTTTAATAAAGTGAATCCACGAGACTTATACAACTTGCGAAGTATGTTTACTTTTATAATTTCGCTGCAATGATACTCTAAGTGAAGGTGAGCATATGATGACAAGTGTTGAATCTTTTATTTTAAATTTTAAGTGTTGTAGAACATATGTGTTTTATGTCAAGCAACACCCTAAGTGTGATATATGTTTTATTTATGTCCTATTTTATAATAATAAGTGTGGGGAAATTAAGGTGGTACAACTCGTACCTCCTCTTCCGATAATATAGAAGGGGACATAGGGACCTTGGCGTTAGTTGTTGTTCCACTAACATGCTATATATAAGTGTTTAATGACCCAGAAGAAGAAGAAGTTTATTTGTCCAAACAAGTCTCAGACATCCCTTTTTGAACCATAATCGTTAGATATGGATATAATTTATGGTCTACATGATCACTATTAAGGAAAGGATGATAAGAATCATGGGACGATCTAGATGAAGTTTCTGATTCAAAATCACTCAATAAATCGACAGCGTTATCACTCATCCTAATAAAGGAAACTAGAAATGTTGAAGGGAAAGTTTGAATTAGAAGGGTATCTGGTTGAAGAAGATTGATAAAATAGGAGAAATAAAAAAGGTGAAATCTTTAAGCAAAGCTCTGAATCGCGTCTAGTGATATTCTTAGGGAAGAAGGAGTGAAGAAAGTCTTCGAGAAGTAACTGTAAGGTTGAAAAAACTTACAAATATTCAACTCACTCTATTTATAAGCATCAACATTTGAAAGATCAAGACCAACAATGAAAGAAGTCATATGATAAAACGACTAGGTTTCCACTTGAGTGCACTCCCTAGCTGGTCATGTCATCGCACGTGTCAGGAAATGTGACTGAGCGTTTCATCGACGAGGCCGCATTAAATGCACCTGTTCCTTATCACTTCTTCAGAAAACTAATCCTATACGATTGATTTCTATCTCACCTCGAACTATGACATGGAGATCGACCAATGATAATTTAAGCTTCCCCTGACTCCTCAGTGTCCGAAAAAGTCTTGAGAATCGGTCAAAGGCCCAATTGATCAATGCCCAAGATCAAGAGTAATTCAAGATCAATAATTATTCAACTCTCTTCATTTTTTATTTATTCATGGAGTTAGATCATCTATTTCTAGTTCTCGAACGGAAAAACTTCTAACATGATTTTTTTTTAAATAATATAATTTTATTTAATATTCATTTAAAAATTATGACTTAACATAAAATAATATTTATTCAAACAAAATATTTTTGTTTAAGAAAAAGTCAGATTGATAAATCTAAAAGACCGTTAGGGTGACGTGTCTCTTTCACCCATTTTATAAACATAATTGTTCAAAAAAACAACTGCTTTATCATAAAAGTGGTAATAAATGGTCACAAATAACAAGTCTAAGAAATAGGTCATGTTGTTTGTCATACACAGAAGGATTGGTTTCACCTTTCACATATTCGAAATGAATTTCAAAGAATAACTTACTTACTTTGAGAACATAGATATAGAAATTTAGTTTTCAGATATTAATTTAGAAAAACATATTGAACCATAATTTAATACTATTTTCAAAACAATTGATACTTAATCTTCTTTGAAAACAATTTTCTAAAACTCTATAAATATATAGTTCATTTTCTCACATATTAATTACTTTATAAAAAATACATATTTTTTCAATTTTATAACAAACACAAAAACATTTATTTATTTCCTAATTATGTATATTTTGAAAAGTAATTCTTAAATTTGAGCATTAAAAAAAACACTACACTCCAAACAAATATTTATAGAATTAAATACATTAAAATAAATTTTAAATTTTTATTACTTCTTGAAAAGTGAAATCAAACTAAATTTAAAGTTTGTTTGACTTAACTGTATAGAAATTTGTCATCTTATTAAAATATAGTTGGACGAAACCAAATATAGAAATTTTTTAAATTTTTTAAATTTCTATCATTTTAAAGCTTTTAAACTGAAAATAAGCTAACTAAATACAGTTTTAATGTGATTCTTAAATGTTTGCTAAAAAGGTAAATTTTCAAAATTGTTTACATAAAAGAATTAATAGAAAAATAAGAAGTTGACATAAATAAATATGAAAATGGTGTACAGTAACTATAATTGAAGGTGAGTTTCGTAAATGAGGATAACATTTATGTGCTTAACCCACTTGTCCAGATTTCTTAAAAACGCACCGCACTCACTTCCTCACTCTCTCTTTAAATCATCCTCATGTTTTTCGCTTTTTCAAGAAATCTGAGTTTTCACCATTTACTTCTCAATGGCCTCCAACAATCACCGCCGTTCATCTCCAGACACCAACGGCTCTCATTCAATTTCCAAAAAACCTAAACTCTCTGCACCTTCCTCCTCCGCCATAACCGTTTCCGAAATTGAATCGGAATTCTCTCACCACGACGGCTCCGTCGCTCGCATCAACAACGGCAGTTTCGGTTCCTGTCCGTCCTCCGTCATCTCCGCTCAACATAAATGGCAACTCAAATACCTCCGTCAGCCTGATCATTTCTACTTCAACCACCTCAAACCGGCGATTGATAATTCGCGTTCGATTATCAAGGACTTAGTCAACGCGCAACATCTCGATGAAATCTCTATTGTGGATAACGCCACCACTGCGGCCGCTATTGTTCTTCAACACACTGCTTGGTGTTTCCGTGAAGGGAAGTTCGATAAAGGTGACATTGTTGTTATGCTTCATTATGCTTATGGTTCTGTGAAGAAATCGATGGAGGCTTATGTCTCGCGTGCTGGTGGAAAGGTGATTGAAGTTCCGCTGCCTTTTCCGGTGACTTCTAATGAAGAGATTGTTACTGAGTTTAGAAAGGCTTTGGAGATGGGAAAAACTGATGGGAGAAAGGTTAGGTTAGCTGTGATTGATCATGTGACTTCTATGCCGTGTGTTGTGATTCCTGTTAAGGAGTTGATTCAGATTTGTAGAGAGGAAGGTGTTGAACAGGTTTTTGTTGATGCTGCTCATTCCATTGGGTGTACTGATGTTGACATGCAGGAGATTGGTGCTGATTATTACACTAGTAATTTGCATAAGTGGTTTTTTTGTCCGCCTTCGGTTGCGTTTTTGTACTCTAGGAAAAACCCTAACACTGCTGGTGCTGGTGATTTGCATCATCCTGTGGTGTCTCATGAGTATGGAAATGGGCTGGCTGTGGAAAGTTCTTGGATTGGGACTAGGGATTATAGTTCTCAGTTGGTGGTTCCTGATGTTTTGGAATTTGTGAATAGGTTTGAAGGTGGTGTTGAAGGGATTAAGAAGAGGAATCATGAAGCTGTTGTTGAGATGGGAGAGATGCTGGCTAAGGCTTGGGGAACTCATCTTGGGAGTCCTTCACATATGTGTGCGAGCATGATTATGGTTGGTTTGCCTGCATGTTTGCGGATTCACAGTGATTCAGATGCTCTGAAGTTAAGGACACATTTTAGGGATGTTTTTGAAGTTGAAGTTCCTATATACTATAGACCACCTAGAGATGGAGAAGTGGAGCCTGTAACGGGGTATGCTCGGATTTCTCATCAAATTTACAACAAAGTCGAGGATTATTACAAGTTTAGGGATGCTGTTAACCAACTCGTGGATAATGGGTTTGCATGTGCTCTTCTTTCCAATTGAAGAGGTTTGCTCTCATCCCCTTTTGACAATACTTTATATTTTGAAATATAGTTGCCTGATGATAGGAATTGTGTTTTGCATTCATAAACGACAACGGTTAGGTTGATGATTGAATAAAGACCCCCCTTAAAATGTTCTTACACATGCAAGGGTTATATTTTGACTGATGATCACTAATTGCTATCTTTCCTTGCAAACTTATAACTTATTGTTCTGTTACTTGCATAGGGTTTTTTTTGTTACATGCATAGCGGTTTCTTGTGTAAAATACTTGTCAGGAATATTAAATGATTTAAATTTGAGTTTTATAACTTATATTAAATACTTGCTTTGGTGTTGTTAAATTTTCATTACAATGTTTGTTGTGACCCTCTGACCGTATCGTTTTGTTGTTCTCCTAGCTGGTGATCATTTAGGGTTGTTTTCTATGAAAACCAACAACTTATTGGTGTTCTATGCATTTCTATTAAAACCAGAAACCAATGCATGTCAGAAATATTAAATGATTTAAATTTGAATCTTATAAGTTGTTCTCCTGGCTGGTGATTATTTAGCGTTGTTTTCTATAAAAACCGACAACTTATTGGTGTTCTATGCAGTCTATTAAAACCAGAAACCTATGCATGTCAGTAATTTTAAATGATTTTAATTTGAATCTTATAAGTTGTATTAGTTACATTCCTTTAGTGTTGTTGAATTTTGGATACGATGGCTGCGTGGACATGTAATCATGTCATTTTGTTGTTCTCTTGGCTGATGATCACTTAGTGTCGTTTTCTTTGCAAACTGATAACTTGTTGTTCTATGCATGTCTGTCCAAACCATTACTCTGGGTAAAATATTTGAATCTTATAAGTTATATTGGTTATATTCCTTTAGTGTTGCTGAGTTTTGGATTATGATGTTTGTCATGAACCTGTGATTATGTTGTTTTGTTGTTCTCTTGGCTCATGCTCACTTAGTATCGTTTTCTTCGCAAACTGATAACTTATTGTTGTTCAATGCATGTCTGTTGAAACCAATACCTGGGTAAATACTTGTCAGAAAGATTAAATGATTTAAAGTTGAATTTTATAAGTTGTATTAGTTACATTCCTTTAGTTTTGTTGAATTTTGATAATGAAGTTTGTCGTGTACCCATGATCATGTCATTTTGTTGTTCTCCTGCCTGTTGATGACTTAGCATTGTTTTATTTTCAAACTGATAGCTTATTGTTGTTCTATGCATGTTTATTGAAACCAATACATGTGCAAATTACTTGTCAGTAATATTTAATGATTCAAATTTGAATTTGTAAGTGCTATTAAAGTGATATCATAGCGGTGCCATGGCCACTATGATGGATATACATAGCTTTTTTTGGGCTTGCCGCAATGGTAAATTTCAGTCGATATTGTGGATTTTTCCGCCATAATCCGATATAACGGTGCCACAAAGCGGACAGTATGCGTGATTTTGGCTCTCCGCCATTGACAACACTGCTATTAATTACATTCCTTTATTCTTGTCGAATATTGATTTTGATGTTTGTTGTTCTATGCATTTCTGTTGAAATAAATACTTGTCAGGAATATTGATTATGATGTTTGTCGCGAATCCGTTCGTGATCTTAAGTTGTTTTCTTGTTCTGCTGGCTGTTGATCTCTTAGGATCTTTTCTTTTCAAGCTTATTATTTCCTTCATAAACAAAACTATCATTGAAAGTAGTTACTATGTTCTCATATGGCTAAACTTGTTGAAACTTTCCTGCATTTTGGTATAGAGGAAGCAAATTCTTTTGAAATTGTTAAAAAAGCCATGTAGCAAATTATGGTTTGACTTTGTTTATTCTTCTAGTTATGTTATATGTATTTTCACTCATAACTGAACAATATTTTGTTTATTTGCAGTTGAGAAGCGTCGTTTAAGTGTTGTCTTTCTAATGAATAAAAGCCATGGATGTTGTAATTGCTGCTAGCTTGCTTGCAAGCTTTGCTAGTTGCGATGGTTTCGGTAGCCGGTACCATGGACTGCATGTTTTGCAGGTAAACTTGAGCAATTAGCCATGTTAGATTTGCTGAGTAGAATTCCTTAGGGAGTGAGCAACTAAAATAGTGAGATGAGATCTATGGATGTATCATTGTAAATATAATGTGATTTTCTCATGGTGTAATGATTTTCATAGTCATTGTGCCAAGTTGCCAACTGCTTCTTCAGGTTTATATCAAAGTTCTACCATAAATTTGAAGTTTGCCATTTCTATGCTTTATAGTTTTATATTTATAATTAGTTTTAATTATTAAAACAATTTTTATGATTTTTTTTTTGGAAAGTAAAAAGAAATCTGAGTAATCTCATTTGGAAATTAGATTCCTAATGTAACCAAAAACAGCCAATTAATTGTTTTTATTGAAGTGGTAATCTCATTTTAATGACGGGAAACTTGATGCCGAATGTAACCAAAAATAGCCAATAAACTTGATTTCTTGTCTTTACCCTCCAATTGTGTATGACAAAATTGCAATTTTTTTTCTCACTAATGCTATTAATTGTTTCTTATTTATTTTATCTATTTTTCACTATGATAAATAATTAAGGGTAACTTTTAAAACGATAAATAATTAGAAATACAAGATTTAGTAACTCTTAAAAGTAGTAAAAAAAGTAAATGAATATAAGTATACTTCCAAACTGAATTTTATAAGTTGTTTTAATTATATTTCTCTTAAGTTAAATTTGAATTTGATGATCATCTTTAAGCTTTTATAAATTAGTTATGACTAAATTTATCATAGTAAAATTGTTACAGTTAAACTATGATTAAATAGAGTTATGGTTAAATTATGATTAAATAGAGTTATAATTACGACTCAATTTTTATAAAATTAAACTATGATAAAAGAAAAATAAGTAATTAAGATTGATGGATTTAATTTTAACTAAATTGTTTGAATCATTTTCACTTAGTATTTTTATCCTTTTGGCTTATTTTCTTTATTATTCAAAATTTATTTTAGTATATTTTTATAATCTGAGTAGTGTACTCAAAATTTATCTTAGTAGTAGTCGTATATTTTAGAAGTTAATCCGGTCAATTTTGATATTCTATAACATAAATATAAATTATTAAAAACAAAACATATTTAAAATCATATTTTTTTAGAAATTTATATTGCAAAAGTAACTTTTATAAAAATTATTTAATATCTTTAAAATTAAGTGATATTTTAAAATTTTGATATTTAAAAAATTATAATAAAATGATTAATTACCTAAAATAATATTTTAAAAATAAATATTTAAATCAAATTTTTATTTAAATTTTTTATTAAAAATTTTAAAGAAAAATATTTAACACTATAAAAATTATTTAAAAAAAAACTAAAACAAACATGCCATATGTGATAATAGCAATAAATTAGTTAACAATTGATAATATTATCCAAATTATATTTGATGAACATTTTTATAAAAAAAATTATCATATCAATATTTGTCTAGAAAAGATATAATATACTTAAAAGTATATTAATAAAAATGATAATTAATAAGTTAAAATTTTAAAAGAACTCATGCAAAAATGACAACAACAGAATCTCAAATAGTTCTACATTTAAGATCATGCAGTATTAGTGTTGTGCATGGGACAAATTTTGTCATGGTTGGATTTCTTAGTTCCAAGAAATCTAGTGTTAATGTTATCCAAAGGAATGTTTTCTTATTTATTGAATTTTTTCTTTTAAAGTTGATGTCTAGGCAGTATGATTAAGTATTTGTTGAAGTTTTACGGCGGGAACTACTTTCAATGCCCGACAACACTCGACTGATAACATAATAACTAAAGAGTCACTTAACTGGTACTATTATTTATTGTTTACTAACTCCAATTCTAAACAAAAGTTATCTCAAAATATGAAACACTTTCAATTTGTTATACAATTTTATTTTCAATTGTATATTTTAGAATATTATTTATATCATTTTTAGTATAATAATTTTTTATATCTTGGGGGTTAAAGTAGCATGTATATTTTTTTTTAGATTTAGTAATATTTTATTTAATATTTATTATTTGTTTGATTTATTTATTTAAATTGTTTTTTATTATATTCAAATATTTTATTTATTTTATTATTAATTGTTCTATTTGAAAATGAGAAATGAATGTAGTTGAAAAACAGATGATTTTGAAACAGTGTTGCCAATCTCTGTCACGACGGTGCATGGTGGATTTGCATGATTAGCATTTCAACACTCAAGTCAATTTAAGATTCAAGATGAGTATAGTGAAAAGTGGAGATCAAAGAATGTATCTTGCTCTTTGTGTGTGAACTGATTTTATATCTCGGGTCAAGTGAAATGAATTTGAGAAGAATTGGGCCTTGGTCATTTGGGCATCTGGCCGGTCCAGAATAGTTGCCCTCGAGACTTTGTCGGACACTAAAGGAGTCGAGGAAAATCTTAAGAGATGTTACTCGGCCTCTGTGGGATGTTGTTTGATGTGTAATAGAACTGAAACACCTGGAATCAATTGAAAAATTAGTGTGGAAAAAGTGCATTAAAGGTTGTCTTATCATTGAAGCGTTTCATAGTCTTCTTCTGACACATGTGGTGACATGACTAGTTAGGGCATGAAGAGGTTTATAGTGCACTTGAGTGCGCTCGAGTTTGTGTGTTTTTCTAAGGAGGAATCTAGTCGTTGATCTCTTAACCCCTTTTCTTAGTCGATCTGGACCGTTCCTATATTTTCGCCTATAAGTAAGATGAGTTGGGCATTTTAGAAGTCTTTTACAATCCTTGATATTCGAGTTCGTTCATATTCACTGCCTTAGTAAATGTATTCGCTTCTTTTCCCTTTAGAGCATTAATCAGAACAGTTGTAGTTTTTTACTCAAAATATATGCTTACTTCATTTATTCCGCTTCATCCATCTCACATCTCAAGTACCTCCCTGAAGTCAAGCTTTTTCTTCAGCATTTCCTGTTTTCTATTCAGGATGAGTGATAGTTTTGTTAACCTA